CCAAGCGAAAATAAAGTATTCTACAGAATTAGCATTTGAAACTTAACGATAATTTTATTTTGGCATCCATATTTAATTTATTTTTTTACCAAACCTCTAACTCAAATGGGACTAGTCCAGGGTTCCTTAAAGCGATTATTGAAACACAATCGGAAAACGACAGCAATCAGAGCCAAATTTGAATTTGAATCTACATGTATCATATTTATAAAAAATTACCATAAACATCCTCCATGAGTAATCAGAAATTACCATTGCAGTAGGCCATCAACACAAATGTTTACATTTACAAAAAATGGCAGAATTACAACTATTTAATTGCAGATCACATCTGTTTGAATGTACATGTATTTTTGTCTTTGAATCCAATATCAATGATATAAGTGACAATAATTAACTGGAATATTGCATGAGTTGCCATGACAACAAAAGTTACTGTTTGATCTTAAAAGTATTGTTTTCAAACTCTTGATTCAGCTTGTTATTATCACACATAGACCACCAGAAAACTGAGTAAGAGTTTTGTGCAACCAACCATACACTGGTTCAACTAATAAATTTTATGCTATATTTGGCTTCAATACAATGTAGTGCAATGTTTAGTTTAATGCTACTGTGAAAATTCATTCTACCATACATGTATGAAATAACTCTTTTTGTCACAGTTGTCATACAGCGGATTTGAAATGTATTTCTATAGGATCCATATCAAATATATTCCCGAATATCTGTCTGTTATTGTAGGTGAATGGAACCCAGCTACTGGGACTCCACCACGTTGACGTGATCGGCATCTTAAAAGAACTACCCATGTGCGTGAGAATTGTCGTAGGACGTCATGGACATCCACTTTTCCCAGACAGAGGACTAACAGCTGAATCACAGAAGATAGAGAACAGTCCCATGCTGGCTCAGCTGACTGCTAGCGAGCCAAACCTTTTCGGTGTCCAAAGTGGCGGCGGTGATGCTAGTGAAGGCCTGGCCAAGGCTCATTCTGAATCTACTTTACTGGTACAAGATGAGAAACCTGCAAGAATATTGGACACTTCATCTGGATTAGCAATGTGGAGTGATGCACCAACTGAGATTATACTGATTAAGGCTGATAGAGGATTAGGATTTAGTATATTGGATTACCAGGTACATTTAATAATATTTACACATGTATTTCATCAGCTGATGTGAAATTCTGCTTTGGTTGAAATTTTAGGCATTTTGACGCCCCTCCCTTCCCAAAAGGTTTTCGTTCTGGTCCCTGACAAGGGTTAACATACATTTCAGATAACAGTACATACAGAAATAATTTATTTCCACATTACAAAAAAGTACAAAAAAAATGTTTTCATGATAGACTATTTACTGAAAACATTTAATGTTCACTCCCAAGCTAAAAAAATGACATGTAACACTTCAAAACTGTACCCTGTATAAATTAGAAACCTTTCTCAAATGAATACTATTTTTCAGTCAGTATTCTGAGTCTATAAACCTTTTCTAAAAAAAACAACAAATAAACAATTTTGCCAATCAGGTTGGTTTACGGGTTTTATTGTGTACAAGTCCTCATTCTGTATTCCTCATCTGGTCAAGTCAATGTAAAAGTACATGGTAAGGTGAAACAAAACCCCTTTGTAAAAAAAAAAAAACTGTTCCTTTGGTGATTTCACTCTGTATGAACTAGGAACCTGTCTCGAACTGAACAATATTTTTCAGTTAGTATTCCAAGTCTATGACCTCCCTCCAAAAAAACAAACACACAAAACAAAACAAAAACAATTTTGACAACCCATTACTGTTTGGTTTAGACAGGTTTTATTATGTATAAGACCTCATCTAGATTCCTTGTCTAGTCAAGTCAATGTATAACCCCTTTGTAAACAAGGCAGTTCCTTTGGTGATTTCACTGCAGTGTTTTATTTGAATTTTGTAGGATCCAATGAACCCAGAAGAGACTGTGATTGTGATTCGTAGTCTTGTTCCTGGTGGAGTTGCTGACCAAGATAGTCGTTTAATACCAGGTGATAGACTAGTCTATGTTAATGATACACATCTTGATAACTGTACATTAGAGAAGGCTGTACAGGCTTTGAAAGGTGCACCACAGGGACCTGTGAGAATAGGTGTAGCTAAACCATTAGCATTATCAGAGTCTGCACACAGAGATGAGGTAAGGCTTAACTTACATGATTATACATAGCGTTTCCAACTCATTGCCATTTTCTTTTCTTTTTTAAATTTTAGATTTGTATTTAAAAACTAAATCCTTATTGCAATGCTGTCTATAGCATTAAATATGCGTTATGTATTCTGGCAGCATTTTGCATCTATGGACTAGGATACTGTAAAACCATTTATTTTCACTGACATTTAATTTCACTACTGTTTTGAGCATATTCACAATTAAGTTCACAAATAAGTATACAATGAGATTTATTGTTATTAAATTTATTGAAATTAAAACCCAGTGATAATTAATGCATTACAGCATGATAAATTACCATGGTACATATTGATATTTCATATTAAGCGTAGCAATAGGTGCGATGAACATTGTTAATCTGTGCGTGCTTGAATATTATGCGGTCATGCTGGACAACGGTACTGTTCGTAATCAGACTGCCAAGAGCCTGCTTGTTTTCTTTCTGCTGAAATCTGCCTTTATGAAATTATTGTGAAATTTAAGTTTGTTTTAAGAAATTTTTGTGGGCAAGAATTATATTAATTTATTTTGTTTGTTAATTTTATAGGTTTCATCATCCATTAAAGAACTTCAGATGCAAGAAATATCTCTTGATCAATTAGAAGATGATGAAATTAAACAGATTCAGGATTCCTCTTCTTCATCCTCTTCTTCATCTAAATCTGAGGAAGATAACGAACTAGAAAGACTGGAAGCTGCAAGAAAGGAAGCTATGGCTGCTATGAATCTGTTTGCTGTAACTACCGGTAAAGAAGAACCCCAACGCCCACCGTCACCTAAAATGGATGAAAAACATGATGACGAAGAAAGAATTGAAACTGTGAGAAGAGAAGCTATGCAAGCAATGAATCAATATGCAGTGACTACTGGTAAGGATCCCACCCCTCAGACAGAAGCACCTCATTTCAGAGCTCCACCACCACTCTTTGACTCCTCATCAGAAGACTTAGATGTTGATGATGTTGAAGTAAAGCGGGAGAAAACCAAGTCAGATGAAGAAAAAGAGAAAATCGAAACTGTGAGACGGGAGGCAATGGCAGCTATGAATATGTATGCAACAACAACGGGACAAAAAGCAGCTGAGCAACCAGTGGAAAAGTTAAAGACACCTTCCCCACCTCCGGAACCTCAATCGTTCACACCGATTCCTCCTCCCAGACCACAGCAATCTGATGAACAGAAAGAAAGACTGGAAGCTGCCAGGAGAGAAGCCATGATGGCTATGAATAGCTATGCCATGGAAACTGGTCAGAAAACACAAGAAATAAGACCAGTTTCTCCTAAATTGGAGCCTAAACAACTACATGTCAGGCAACCTTCTCCTGAACCAGAACCAGTTGAAGATAACACCGAAGAAGAGAAACGTTTAGAAGCGATGAGAGTTGAGGAGGTGATGGCCTTGAATGCATTTGCAATAGCATCAGTTCAAGAACCACAAGAAATGGAGATTGTGGCCGCGACACCAGTGATGATTGAGGTAAAAAGAAATCAACCAGAACCGGTTGAGTTCAGAGAATATAAAGAGCAGTCACCGCATGTCGAGTCAGTTCCTGCACAGGTTGCACAGGAAACCTATGAAGTTGCCTCCAGTCACTCTAGCACATCGTATAGCGAGAGCGAAAGCGAGAGTGACGACGAGGAGCTAGATGAGAGAATAGAACAAGTATCTGTGAAAGCTTTCGAGGAGTCAGTTGTTAGGGAAACTGTTGAAATTGTTTCCCAGTCCTCTTCATCTTCTGAAGTTGATGATGAGGTTCAAGTTTCAATTGTTGTTGCTACACACACTCCAGTCCCTGACATAATAGATGATGTTTACCAAGTGCATGCAGATGAGGATAGTGTGCATGATCATATCATTACTAACGGTGTGCATGATAGTAGCGAAGTATCATCCGTATCATCGGGGACATCCCATACATCCTACTCTGAATCGGATGGAGAATTACAGGTGGAGGCAATGCATGCATCGCTCAGTTCAGATGATGCCGAAACTCCAATGCATGCATTAGAACAGCCTTTTAGCCACGATGTAGCCATTCACAGTGTCAGCCCGGTGGATAATTTGCATGCTGAGGGTGATTATGAAAGTCCCGATGAACATTTATACTCACATCCAGATCACTTAACTTATCCCAGCATTCAGGTGGGTGAACACAGATTGCCAATCATTCATTATTAATCTCTTCACTATCTTTAAAACTGTTACCTCCTCCATGAAATACTGTAAACATCTGACACAAATACTGTATAAATCCTTTATATTTTTTACTAGAATGGATCTTAAATGCAAATGGCCTCTGTGATTGCGTTGAGAACGAGAGAGCCTCAAAACTTGTTTTTGTCCCTCAAATTGTGTTCCATTTTCTTCCATCATCACATCTAACTGTTCCCAGTACCCTGATTACCGGTATATAGGTCAGGGGATCAGTGAATACGATAATGGAAGAGAATTGAAGACTATTTGATGTTCAAAAACAATTGTCATTTGTATCTAAGGTCTATTGTTTCATAATTTTAAGGTGTATGTGTTTTGCAATTTGATAATGCTGTTCACACAGACTGCCTTCAATGACTGTTGAGAGAACAACATTTTTGTGATTTTGCCTTCTTTATAAGTGGTTTACAGTAATCTTGTTCATTTCCATGTAAAATTAAAAGAAAAAAATAGATTTTTAAATAAAAATGCATGACCTTCACATGAAAATTTAACTGCCTGTTTGGTGCATTATTAAATTTAATAGATTCAAAAATACTAATAATTCACTGAAAAGCTGAAAGTACAAATATAGCATATACCGGTACTTCTGATAATTATTATGTGCTATCGATACTTGTCACCATTTTGCTCAGTTCAGGGTTTTCATCACCAAGTGGTTAGATCAGAAATTATTGTATTGCAAAGTATGTAATTTGTCTGCATGTGCAAGTGTGCAGACACATCAACCCCCCATCACACGTTGCTCAAACTTCTTGCTGTAATGTCAGTGTTGTGATGCTTTCTTTGCAGTATCCGTGTTGACACCAGTAACCTCATGTACATAAATGTGCATAATTATTTGGTCTATCACAAGCTTATCTCCAATATGAATATGCATAAATCCAAAATTGCATTCATGGTATACTTAGTTTGACCTTGGACACACTTCTGTCATTTTTATTAGGGCATGTGCAACTAATGAAGCAAATGTAATACCTGCATGGATGTCAACATGTTTTCTCGTTGTACATGTAGTGATGTCTACAGGATATTGTTTTCTGCTGATACATATATTTGTGGACTGATGTTTACTTGTTGACAACTGTGCAAATGTTTTACACTTGGTATTGTCTTCATCCTTGTTGAGGGATCTTTGCTTGTTGACATTGACAAACGTACTCATAATTCTTGACTGAAATTTTGTGTGCATGCAACTGACTTTTAGACGTATTATTAACATGAATCTGTTACAGAGCGACTCTGATGAAGAAGTAGAATTTCCACCATTACCAGCAGGCCCCCCGCCACCACTCCCTTTCCAACCACCACCTACAGAGGAGGAGGAAGAGATAGTACCTTACTTCAGTGAATCTCAATCGGATGCGTCTATGACGCCATCGTTTGCCGTGGCAGCCCTGGATATGCAGGATGATGGTTCCACTGGATCGAGTCCTATGAGTTCTCCAGGAATGCTGGATAGGAAAGCAGTTGTTGTACTTCCATGCATTCTGGAAAAGACAGTTAGATTAAACAAAGGAAATGCTGGATTAGGTAAGCATGTAATAAATTATTTATTTTATAACCATTGCACAATAATCACAACATGCATATTAAGATACACTGATTTATTTGCATTATAATAATGATTAATTCATGTGCAATATATACAAGTCTTACAGTACTATACCCAGCAACTTTTCAGAGAGCTGTTGTACATTATGTATAAATTGCAAAGCAAATTAATTTGGATAAGTTGCACAATATTTCAGTGCATTACAATGTGTCTTCTTAGTAGTGTTTTGTTGACTGTTCTTAGTTCCCATAACATTCAATTGTCCATATTTGGACATTGTGTTTTATCATACTATGCATTATCAAGGGGTAGAGTACTTATCCACCTTGCGTAATGTTTTGACATTAAATTTAATAATGAAAAATCATGCAACTATACCAATATTGCAAGGGGTTGTGATAAAAAAAATAGAAGCCCATTACCGGTAATACAAATTCAAACAAATCAACTTTAAACATTGATCGACTCTGTGTTGTATTTTGTGTTTCAGCGTAATCACCAACTGGCACACCAGTCAGGTTTTGGGCATAAACCAAGCCAAAATAAGCAATAACACAGCTGATTATAAACACCAAACTCATGTCATAATAACAATAATGAACCATCCACAATGCCATATAGGATTCATGGTGGTACATGTACAAATGTACGCTCACATAGACGAGGTTAGGCTCCTCATCTGTAATGCCACTGTGGATTGTTTGTTAAACTAGAATTTGATTTATTGACTGCGATGAATGACCTTTACTATTGGCCTGTTCATTTTGTACATTTGTACATCTGATCTATATACATGTATGTACAATGTATGTCCTGTGGTTTGTTTATACTTTAAATAGAGATGTGAATAAGCTAAAAGACAAATCTGTTGGGATGGTGCTATCTAAGCATCTTTACATTATAAATTAAACAACTTTACAGTGTACAGTAACTGTTTTAATATATCATGTACCCATATTTGGTATATTAGAAGTATTAATATGCTGATGTTTTTTTGCATTACTAAGCATAGGTTCACTCCAGCAGAGAGTATACCTACATGCGCACATCACCAAAGTGAGATTATATCAAACATCTTTAACTCTTTGAGATCCAAATTGCTTTCCCACTCAAATTTGGGTAAATTTGTTCACATCTTATGTAATTTTTCTTGAACTCAATCTTGATTTCAGACCAAACAACCAAAATGTGACATTGCTTCTAGTTTTTGCTCAAAAAATTTCACAACATTTTGTGTGGCAAAGAACAGACTACATTAACTGAAAATTTTGTGGATGGTACCTGAACCTGACTTCGGTTCTCAAAGGGATAACCACACTTCCAATAATTAACACTACTTATTCCTCAGTCACTATATTATTTTCATGTTTATATATGTGATGTTTTCTTTCAGTTTATGAGATTTTTACCTCACATACACACATACATACTATAAAATACTTTATTTTGGCTGGAATAAATTTTCGCTGAAAAGACTTTTTTGGTGTTTCGTATGGAATTTATTTTCACTGATTTTTAACGAGTTGAATGTAAAATATAGGAAAAAAAGTATCTTTGCTGGATTTTATTTTCACTGAATCATTCCTTCAGCGAAATTATTGAAAATAAAGTATTTTACAGTACATTACTATGTAGACACTTATTTTTTTCAAACATCACATTGTTTTTGTTGTTTGTTTTGTTTTGCCATATATTTAGGACTCACCATCCAGAGTTCTCAAGGTAATCAAAGTTAACGGTTATGATCTGATTGACCTGCATTATATACATATATCGTATTAACACTTTTATTATCTGCAATGTTCTCCCATGCAGCTTTCATTTTCCTGCTGTTCACATTCAACTCTGCATGATTTGAAAACTCCTTATAAAGTCATCTCTTAATGGTCTTTCACTGAGCTGCGTGTGCCAACAACACTTTCTCCGAAGCTCTGTTTATCAACACGTTTTGAAATCATAAATAAATATTGTCGCTAACAACTTTTTTGAGTAGATCATAGGTTGTCAATAATGTCGCCCCAAACACTGTGTGTGTAGTATACATTTTAGGTTTGTGTACGTAGCCAGCAATGGTATGTTTACTACTTGTTATGAAACTCCACATGTACATTACTCTACCATTTACAAAAGCGTCTGTATAGTTACAGAACTGTGTATATATAATTATTCTGGTATCACCCTCCTGTAAAAGGACTAAATCCTCCTTCAACCAAGTAGAGATATTTTTGCAATGTCAAGCGGTTGCTCAAATAGTAAAAGTTTGCTGGCTCTTCCCAGCTCGTCAAGTTGAGATGTTTAGTTGACAGAAACCTTCCAGCCAGTCAAATGGAATGAGAACCCCCTAGTCAAGTATAGATATTCAGGTCACAGGGACCTCCTGGTCAGTCAAACGTAATGGGAACCCCCCTAGTCAAGTAGAGATGTTTAGGTTACAGGAACCTTCTAGCCAGTCAAATGTAATGTTAACTCCCTAGTCAAGTATAGATGTTTAGGTTACAGGAACCTTTTAGCCAGTCAAATGTAATGTTAACTCCCTAGTCAAGTAGAGATGTTTAGGTTACAGGAACCTTCTAGCCAGTCAAATGTAATGAGAACCCCTAGTTCATGTAAAAAT